CTCTCAAGATGGCTGCTGTCTCTCCGGGATGGCTGCAGCCGGCCTGCTGGTTGCTGACTCAGCCGTTGGGTGCTCTTTTCCCGGCTGTTCCACCGCTGCAGGTGTGCTGTGAGGAGCCAGGCTCGGTGTGCAGTACCTGGTAATTGACTTTGTTTTAATTTTTTTTTGTTTATGACTTTTTTTCACATAGGAACGCATTAAGTAAGTTTCAGTGCTTTCCTATGGGAAATTTGGATTTGACTTACGAACTTTTCAACTTACGAACGTCCTTCTGGAACGGATTCAGTTCATAAGTCGAGGGTTGACTGGATGGACTGGAGGAATCCCAAGCCAGAATTAAGATTGCCTGAAGAAATATCAACAACCTCAGATATGCAGACGATACCACTCTGATGGCAGAAAGTGAGGAGCAATTAAAGAACCTCTTAATGTGGGTGAAAGAGGAGAGCACAAAAAATGATCTGAAGTTCAAAATAAAAAAAAATTAAGATTATGGCCACTGGTCCCATCATCTGGCAAATAGAAGGAGAATATATAGTGGCAGTGACAGATTTTACTTTCCTGGGCTCTGTCATCACTGCAGATGGTAACAACAGCCATGGAATTAAAAGACGTCTGCTTCTTGGGAGGAAAGTGATTACAAACCTAGACAGCATCTTAAAAAGCAGAGACATCACTTTGCCAACAAAGGTCTGCATAGTCAAAGCTATGTTTTTTCCAGTAGTGATGTATGGAAGTGAGAGCTGGACCATAAAGAAGGCTGACTGCCAAAAAACTGATGCTTTTGAATTGTGGTCCTGGAGGAGACTCTTGAGAGTCCCTTGGACTGCAAAGAGAACAAACCTATCCATTCTGAAGGAAATCAACCCTGAGTGCTCACTAGAAGGACAGGTCCTAAAGCTGAGGCTCCAATATTTGGCCATCTCATGAGAAGAGAAGACTCCCTGGAAAAGACCCTGATGTTGGGAGAGTGTGAAGGCAGGAGGAGAAGGGGACGAGAGAGGATGAGATGGTTGGACAGTGTCATCGAAGCAACCAACATGAATTTGGCCGAGCTCCAGGAGGCAGTGGAAGACAGGAGGGCCTGGCGTGCTCTAGTCCATGGGGTCACGAAGAGTCGGACACGACTAAATGACTAGACAACAACATTGCAGAAGTGAGGAACATCCATCTCCATGCTTTGTATGGCTACCCCAACGCTTTCAATTTATGTGTACATGCTCATATCTCTGTCTCTGTCTCTTGCTCTCTCGCTCGCTGTCAGGACAGCTCAGTAAGTTGGGTATGAGCTAAAAGTTGTGAGTTCAATTCCCCAGTATATATCCCAGAAGAGTCAGCCTGTCTTTCCTTGGGCAAGTTTAACAGTCTCAGAAAAACCCCAGAAGATGAGAATGGTAAATCACTTCTGAGTATTCTTTACCAGGAAAACCCTGAAGAGGGTCACCGTAAATCAGAACTGATGACACACAATTATTATTTATCATATCTACATCTATATCTATATCTGTCTATCTATGGAATACACACCCATGCTTACGTGCAAATAAAAAATATTTTTAAATAAAAGGGAAAGTGGAATATATATCTTATTTATTTAATTTAATTTAATTAAAATTAAATTAAATTTAAGAGAGCCTTGTGGTGCAGTGGTTAAACTGCTGTAAGGTAAAGGTAAAGTTCCCCTTGACATATTAGTTGTGTTCGACTCTAGGGGGTGGTGCTCATCCCCGTTTCCAAGCCGTAGAGCCAGCGTTTGTCTGAAGACAGTTTCCGTTGTCACGTGGCCAGCGTGGCTATACACAGAATGCTGTTTACCTTCCCACCGAGGTGGCACCTATTTATCTACTTGCATTTACATGCTTTTGGACTGCTGGGTTGGCGAGGAGCTGGAACAAAGTGATGGGAGCTCACTCCGTCGCGTGGATTCGATCGTATGACTACTGGTCTTCTGACCCTGCAGCACACAAAGGCTTCTGCGGTTTAGCTCGCAGCACCACCATGTCCTCGTCTGTACGGGGACATGGTGACGCTGTACTGCAGCCAAAACTGTGCTCATGACCTGGGGTTCAATCTCAGGTAGCCGGCTCAAGGTTGACTCAGCCTTCTATCCTTCCGAGGTCGGTAAAATGAGTACCCAGCTCGCTGGGGGGGGAGGGCAATGTGTAGCCTGCATAATTAACTTGTAAACCTCCCAGAGAGTGCTTGAAGCACTATGGGGTGGTATATAAGCAGCACGCTTTGCTTTTGCTTTTAATTCCATGATTTTGGAAGATTTATGCATCTTTTATACCATCCACAACTCTGCAGCACCCAACTACTTGAAGACCACTGAGGGGTTGAAACCTAGGTAAAATTTGTGATTTTACCAGTCTAATAAAGGTATCATTTACTCTTGCCTTTGGATTTTAGTTCTTGGGCATCCTTCTCTCCAGCTATATTTGAAAATCAGGAAAGTTTCTATAAGAACCTGGCACCAGAATTGGCTCTATACAAGTTGAGAAACATGCCTTAATAGCTTTTTGGATCCCAGTTTGGGAATTTTGAGACATAAAATATATAATAATATTTTTTTCCCAAGTAACATATTGACTGTACAGAGATCACTGCCACCTACTGTCAAGGCTACTAAATATTTGTGATTTGAAGAAGAGGGAAAACTGATTTAAGTCTGCCCTCTATTGCCTCTGAATAAAATTACTGTAGTACAACTGTCTCGGCACAGGGTTCTCAAGGGTAAGAATGGTTCAGCAGAGGTTTGCCATTGCCTTCTGCACAGTACTAAAAAAAAATTACTTGTTTAAAAGCAAAAATTGTGAAACGGGCTTTCATACTGCGGGCACATCAGGAGAAGACAAGGCTCACCGGAAAAGAAAGTAATGCTACAAAAAGTTGAAGACTGCAGGGAAAAAGGAAGACCAAAATGAGATGGGTTGACTCCAATAAAAAACTACAAGCTAATGTTTGCAGAAGCTAACCTGTGAAAACAGTATGGGAAGAATGCAAGTTGTGAGACCCTCTCCCCTTGACCAACGTTATCACACTATTCAGATGATTTCCCAGCTGCACGAACAGGACTAAGATTCTGTATTATATATTCCTGTTGAACCAAATGGTAGTCACACATGTGTAAACATGATCAGATAAGAACAGAAAGGCAAGGAGTAATGGACTTTATGAGGTAACTGAGGCTTCCTCTTTCCTTCTCCTCCCCCTCAGTGGAGCTGATGTACTATTCTATCCCAGTTTCCACTCCAGGACTCTGCTTGTGTGATGGAAACAAGTGTCCCTGCACAAGTATTTTAGCTGAAATGTGAAAGATTAGTGAAATGCAAAACAGTTATGGGTGTGGTGATGATGATGCCATTTTTATTTGAAATTTGTCCCATGGTGACCTATGATTTGCCTCTGGACAGCCTAGATTTTGAAGGTAACTTATAGACCCAGTTGCCTATGGATGGTCTCATAGAATTGATGCCATTGGCTAAGTCCAAAGTGGTTCTTCTTCCTGCAGTGGCATTTGTGGATGTTCTCTAGAATAGACTGTAGATGATATCAGGGTGCCACATGTTTCTGTGCAAGAAAGACTATCAGTATAGGATCCCACTGTCTTCTTAGAGCATCTGCCCACATAGGCTGCAATTCTTTGCCTCTATAAACATCTAGGTCAGCAGTTTATCTTACGGTCTTTGAGAGGTTGCTGAACATTGTGGCACACCAGAAGCGGAGCTCCATGTTTGAGCTGATGGACACCATCAGACCTGCTAGTCTCCTGAAAACTCCTGGATTAGCAGAATCTTTAGTCTCATCATGCCTATGAAGCACCAGCTCAAAGACTCCAAGAAACACATGCAATCAATGATCTTTGAAAGAACGCACCTTTTGTCCAACACTTCCTGATTATGCCTTGCAGCTGGTCCCCTTGAACTATTCATACTGCAGTACATATATGTGTTTTCCCTGACACTAACCTCCGCTGGTGGATGTCCATGTGTGCTTTCTGTCTCTTGACCTCCTCCACAAGACACTTTTAAGTCTCTGATTCTTGTTGGTGACCCTAGTTGCTCACCCTTCAAACAGTTTAAAGGGGAGCTTGCTTCAGTGCTGTCATGATGGTTGCAGATGTGAAGGTGGGCTAACTGAAAAAGTGGGTGGGTGGTGGAATCAGATTTGAGCAAAGAATGACATAAAATCCAAGGTTCACAAGTGAATTCACTCAGATGATAATGATTTTTTCAAAATGCCAAAGCAATGTGGTACTTGACCAAAAGCTATGCCAGTCCGGCCCATAAAATCTTAGTGCCAAAGTGGACTGAGGATATGATCTAATTCACTCAGATGATACGATTTTTTCAAAATGCCAAAGCAATGTGATACTTGACCAAAAGCTATGACAGGCCGATAAAATGTTAGTGCCAAAGTGGACTGAGGATATGATCCAAGGAAACAAAACAAAACAAAAACAAAACACGGAAAAAAATAAAGGTTCTCAATTAAAACCAGCCACACGGAACACCTTTTCTTGGGCAGAATACTTGACCCAACTGGTCTGACGATAATTTGAGATTTCCTGCATGGGCGGTAGAGGAGGGAGGTTGTACCATTGAATCAAACATGAACACACAGTTTTATAATTCTGCCCAAAATAGTCTTGTCTGTGCGTCCGTGCGCGCGCGCTCTCTCGCCCCATCACGTGCGCGCGCACAGATCTGGCAGGGAGAATTGGAGAGGCAAGCCACGCGCTGCGGGCAGCCAGAAACATCTTGTGTGTAAGATGGGCCATTTAAGTAATAATTACAAACCTCTTGTAGCTTCCAGTGGGTGGGGTGGGATGTCTCCAACTTTCCATATATGACACGTGCAGAAGAGCAGCGAGTACAGCCCCGCTATTTCTTGCCTCTACAGAGTCTGAGCAAGTCAGCTCTGCATTCAGACGTTCAAAAGCTATGCCAGTCCAGCCGAGCTTGACTGGGGCTGTTCTGAGCATGCGCAGAAACTCGCACTGAGCATGCGCAAAAACACACATGCTCAGAAGCTCTCGAAGAGGAAGTGCGAGTGGTCGGGGGAGGTGATTGCTTTTTGTCTTTTTTTTTTTTTAGAACGCCGAGATATTTACATTTAAATGTTTCTTTTCTTAGTCGCTTGTAGGGATGTGCCCCGGTTTTATTACCAGACCTGCCGCGCCTGTCCTGGGTTGCATCCGTCCGTCTCACTTCCCCGTGTTATGCAAACAGGGACATCATCAGCACCTCGTTTCCTTCTTCATCACACCAGTTATGTCTTCACTGGTCACAGACCCAAAAACTCTCGCTCATCTTGGTGGCTTTTGAACAACACCCTCTTTTCAGCTGTGCTGCTTAGCAGGAGATTCAAAAACAACGGGGTTCTGTTTTATT